TTTTCATATATCTTAAAAAAATTTATAGTAAATTAATTGTATTGCTGAATTACTAACGACAATTCTGTCTTTTATGCGAAATTTTATTAAATTATACGTATATATAGATTATGTACATGAACTAATAACAGATTGGTGCAAATTTTTCATCAATTAATAAAGTATAAGTATAAAAGTATAATAATATATTATTAAGAAAATATTCACAAGCACACAAAAACACGAAGAAATGACAAAAATTTGAGGATTGAGATTTTTTAAAAAAATAAAAAAGTAAAAAATGTCACAGAGGATCATGTTCGCACAACATTTTTCACACGATAACTACGACCACATTTAAATCTTATCTCCCTAACTGAACCCACCAATCTCTATGAATCTATCCTCTGTACATACCGTTTCCATTAATCCTTCAGTCCAATTGATTTTTTTTCCACCAAAAAAAAAAAAAAAAACCAAAATCGGTTATCAATTAATCATCGGTCGTAATCGCATCCGTGCAACAAACCGTGTTGAATTTTAATCACATTTTGCTTCGTTTGACAATGGTCGTCGCCATAACGTTTATCGTTATTATCATCGTTCAACGTCGGACGGGGATGGGGAGGAGTCAATGGTCAGAATCGCGTACACAGGTATGCCGTTAACGCGAGTTATTTCATTGTTGCCACTCGTAACAGATGTTTGCGGCCGCGCCAGTGGAAAAGGCTGTGATTGACCCGTTTCACCCGTTGCAAAGGTTTTTGAAGCCAGAATTTTAACTAACGAATAAACATACTTTAACTTTCATTCAATTGCTTCAAAGCATCGTGGTGTGTTTTCACGGTTTATTCATTCGGTTGAAATTCCGCACGTGTATTCAAAACGTATTTCGTATTTCATTGTTTGTACATAGTAAACTAAGAAACTGGTCAATTAGTGGGAAAGATTGTGGTTTGAAAATTTTTATTTTTTCGAATTGTTTTTTAATTTCGAAGAAAAGTGTTTTTCTGTTTACGAGTTGGAGAAACAAATATATATGGAGGAAGATACGAAGGAGTATTATTGAGTTTAAGTGAAAAAAATGATTCTGTATAAGATTTAAGATTTGTCTGCTTGTTTTTGTAAACAATGTTCTGTTAAAATTGCGTAGAAAGTAGATTTATTCTAGATATGATTGATAATGATTGTTCAAATAGTAATACATATATAAATTCGTATATAATACGTGACATATTTCGTTTGTGTAATTAATTTGATCAGTTTGATTTATTATGCATACGTTTTGTAATGGATTCCTCGTATTTCTCGGCGTGAATACGTGGGAAACAGGTAACTTGTAAGTCGTCTTTAATTACCGAGAGTCAAGTTTCGCAAAGTTGTTGGAAGTTTAATGTCGGTTTATTAACACGATAAACCATGTTGACAAGCTTTGGATGATTAATGGTCGAGCGATCGGGTCAATAGCTTGGATTCATATATTAATTTACATGCTCAAACTTGTTCAATACTCGTGATCCCGATATACACAATTTTCTCTCCAAATTAATCATCGGCTAAAACTGTTAGAAACTGTTGTGTTGTTGTAAGTGGTGATTGGTTTGGAAGCAAATTCCTCTTAAGATATGAGTTCTAAAAGCCAGTATTAATGGATATTTTCAAGAATTCAATCCGATTTTATATTGATATTATTATATTATATTGATATATTATATTGACATTAATTTTATATCGATTCGAAAATTTTTTGAATTTTGAATGCAATTATTAATTGAAATTTCGAAAATTGGGTTCTCTGAAATTTTAGAAAAGCCAATATTATGTTATGCCAAATTTATGTCAGTCACATGGATACTTTTGAGAATCTAACCCAATTCGAGTATCAGTTATTCGAAATTTTTTGGATTTTA